GAAAAGGGTTGCCCCTTCCTCCCGGCCTCCGAGTTTCCGATGAGAAACCCACCGTCGTTACGGTTCGTTTTCTCACACAGACAAGGGGCCATTTCCGTCTCACTGCTTTCGAGAACGTTTCTCGGAATCTGTGTTTATCGTTCGGAAGTTTTGACGGGTGTGTCTGGGTGAGGATTTCTCTGGGTTTATCCTGTTCGGAGGTCACTGGCTTCCCGGAGCCGTAGGTTGGTGTCTTTGACCAAACCGGAGCTTTCGGTCATTATTTCTTTGATGGCGTTTGCCCAGTCCCCTCTCTCCTCTGCCTTTGGGACACGATGACGGGAACGCGGCACCTTTCGTCCCTCCCGCAGACCTCAGAGGCTCCGCTGACTTTTTCAACCCGTCTCCTTTCAGTCGCCCAGACTGGCAAATTTCTCTTGTCCTGGCTTCAAGCTCACGGGTCCTCTTTCCCTCCCCGCGTTCTGCTGTTGAGCCCGTCCTCTGAATTTCCAAAATGCTGCTCTGGTGGCAGTGTTTCTCGGTCCTAAGATTTCTGTTTGGTCACTTTGTAAATTTTCGACTTCTTTGCGGAGACTTTCTCATTCTTACTTGTTCCAAGTCCATTTGCGAGTGTTCGCCGGAACACTTTGACTGCGGATGCTCCAACGTCTCTGCCGGAGAACGCCGAGAGCACGGGCACCCCGGACGGCCGTGCTTTCATTCAGTGCGAGCTCCTCCCGGCTCTCGCTGTGAGCGGGGTTCGATGAAAACGTGGACGTTTGGGCGCTACCTTAGGGGAGTCTGAATTATTAAGCCTTCTGCTTTAGCTGGTGATCTTCGATCCCGCTCGGCAGGAGGAGAGTGTGGATGGAAGTCCAGGTTGCCCGCTTAGTCTCTGTTGGTCCCCGAGAAGGAGCCCCTCGTCTCTGCTGGGTGAGGCTGGGGGCTCTGGCCCCCCACTGACCCCCCACGAGGCCATCCCTGGCCCCTCCCTGGGAGGCGGGAGCGCCGGGGGGACACAGGGTGACCTGGCACTGCTCCCCGCGGGGCTCGCACGGACGCTGCAGGCAAGGGAGTCTTCTCCGCTGGCGGGGAGTGGCGTGGTGGCTGTCTGGACCCCCGTGCCGGCCTCCTCTGACCCCACCCAGCCGGGAGGGACGTGCACACACACGTGCTTTGGCACACCCGCACGCTGGAATACTGCTCGGCCGTAGCCAGGAGTGAACTTCTGAAACACGCACGGACTTGGGTGGGTCTCAAAGGCATTCTGCTAAGCAAAAGAAGCTAGACGGAGAAAGTGACCCAGGCGACGATTCCATTTGTATGACATTCTTGGAAAGGCACAACTACAGGGACAGAAATAGGTCCGTGGCCGCCGGGGGCTGGGGGTGGGGCAAGGGGCTGACCAAAGGAGGGTGGGGCGCGCGGGGCACGTTGGGCCTCGGGGTGGAGTTCCCCCGAGGCTGGGCTCTGCCGGTGGCTGCACAACTGTGGCTCCCCAGCAGACACTGCGAGGGTGAATGGTGTCGTGTGTGAGTTGTCCTTTAATTAAAAACACCAAGTGCCCCTACCTTGCCTCTGGGGCGGGGCGGTGCTGCCGGAACCTGCAGGGCGTGGAGGAGCGCGATGCTGTGATTAAGTCTCCACAGCGGAGAGAGCGTCTCTGCAGGCTCTGGTGAACACACGTCCAGGGTCACTGAGAAATAAATTTAAAAATAATAAAAACCAAAGAGACCAAAACAGCACCCATGCCTTGTAGGAGTAAAGCCCTCAGCCTCGCCCCACCACCGTCGCGTGTCGGTGCGTGCATCTGGCGTGCGCACACGGGTGTTTCCCAAGCGGATGGTTTGATGCATAGGGTTCACCCTGGGGATCTGCCGAGTCCCCTTGCCCGCCCCGCCTTGAATTCAGCCTCGCATCTGTCTGCTATTTTCCTGGCTAATTAATATAATTACACAAAACAATAACCATCGCGAGCACAATATTCCGAATTATGTGATTTCACACCACACACAGACACATCCGTGTGGAGCGTGCTGGGTGGCCGTGGATGGCGGTGTCGTGTGCGGTGGTGTTTCCTGAGTCCTGCATTCTGAGGGGTCACGGGGAACCCCCTGCGTGGCCAGGCCGAGGGCAGGAAGAGGTGCTCTTGGGATGCAGCGCGGCGAGCGAAGGTCACCTTCAAAGCCGTGTCCCTGGGGAAGGGGGTGGTCCTGGGTCACCGACCGTTCCCACCTTCGTGTTGGGCTTGCCCGTCAGCCAACAGCAGTGCTGGACGCCGCGCTTCCTCCGTCTGCCGTGGGGGTCAGCGGGAGTCCCCGAGAAACCGAGGCCAGCCCCCTATTTGTCACGGAGCTAATAGGGGTGCCTCTGGGCCCACAATCTCAGGTCTTTTGGTGCCCAGACCACCGGCGCCCACCCATCTTGTAGGTAACAGAGCAAAGGCTGAGGCGAAGCAAAGGTGTTCCCAGAAAGACCCACGGCAGACTGCTGCGCAGCTGGCGGTGGCGAAGGCGCCCCCTCTCCGTGCAGTGCGCCTCGTCCCGGCGCACCAGGCGCGCCCCCGCTGTTCCTGCGCCCCACACTCTCTGCCCCCCGTCCCTGCATGGCTCACCCCACCACGGCCTCCGGTGTCCATTCTGACCTCACCTCTCAGTGAGGCTCTCCTGACCCGTCCCGTTTACCATGGCAACCCTCCCTCCCCGCCGGGGCCCCACCCCCGACACCAACCCCACACTCCGATCCTTCCTTACCAAGGTCTCTTTGCTGCATAGCGCCGCTCTCTGACACGTGATGTCATTTATTCATAAAACTTGTTCTTTTCTGTCTCCCCAACTCGAATATAAGCTCTATAACCTTTGTCACGGGGGCACCCTCCGGGAGACCGACACCTAACACAGACGACACGGCGCCTACCCCCGGGCAGTGCTCCATGAACCTTTGGGTGGGTGCACGGGGGGAGTCCCCACAGGCGCGAACTGCCCCGGAATCTTCGAGAACTCCGCTGAATGTCCCTCCGAAGAACGCTGATCCACTCCGCCGCTTTTTGTCGGAAATCCTGGACCACCCAAAACGTATTCCTCAGCACTTGTTGGGCACTTGGGTGGTCCCCCGCCGGGTTATTTTGAAGGATGCCGGTGTAAACACTTGTGTGCACGTTTTTATTCGGATACCCGTTTTCCGTTCTTTTGGGTATATCCCTGGACGTGGGGTTGCTGGGTCACGTGGTAAGCCTGTGCTGAGCTTTCTGAGGAGCTGCCAGCCTGTTTTTCGTGTGGCTGCGCGACGCCACACCCCCGCTGGAGGCGTGTACAGGTCCCAGGCTCACATCCTCACGGCACTTGTTAACCCCAGTTTATTATTACTGCGACCACGGCCGCGCCAGCTGGTCTAAAGGCACACCTCTTCGTATGAGTCTGCAGTTACATGTTTCTAACGGCGAATGATGCTGAACGTCTGTACGTGTGTCCCTTTGGGTGTCTTTGGGGAACTGTCTGGTCAAGTCTGCTGCCCAGCTCTACATGGACTTGTCTGCCTTTTCGCTATTGAGTTGTGAGTTCTCCATACATTGTGGATATGTCAGATGTATGACTCACAAGCGTTTTTCACTCATTCTTTGGATTTTCTTTTCATTTTCTTGATGTGTCCTTTTTTTAATGCACGAAGGTTTTTAATTTTGAAGAGGTCTAATTTATCTTTTTTTTTTTAAATTGCTATTTTTTTTCAGTGTCGTATCTAAGAATTTATTGCATAAACTCCAAAGCCAGGAATGTTTACTTCTGCATGTTCTTCTAAGAGTCTGGTAGTTTTAGCTCTGACATCAGTTTTGAGTTTTTTGCACAAGGTGTGAGGTAGGGGTTTCATGTTATTCTCTTGCACGTAATATCTGGTTGTGGGACCTTTTAAGAGAAGTTATTTAAATGTAAGATTAGATCATTCAGCCTTTAATTGTGGCCATGTTTAACAATGGGCTTGCAGGATTCCTGGAAATGTAACCGGGAATCAGCTCTCGAGAGCTGGTGTGAGCCGGTGTGAGCTGGTGTGAACTGGCTCCAGCCTGCCCTCCCCTGCCCCTCCCCCTCCCCTGCTGGGGCCACCTGGCTGCTGAAGGCTGGAATTTGGATTTTTTTTTGTGAGTGGTGGGGCTGGGGGGTGGCTGGGGTGTGCTTATAGAGCTCTGGAGTGGGGGGGGGGCTGCCTGAGGAAGAAAGCCCTGGAGACCCCCAGTCCTGTGTGGCACCTGGCGCTCCCTCCCGCGGTTTGGAGAGAGTGGCTGGGGTTCTCTGGCTCCCTGGCCCACCCTTGGGCCCACGCTGCGCCCCTGGCCGACCGGGAACCAGTTGTGTCCCAGCTGGATCCAGAGCGGCCCGGAAAGCGGCACCCTGGAGCGGAGACCCAAGCCCGGTCCCGAGGTGGAGGAAGTGCTCCTTCTCCCGGGTGGGGGGCCCAGGTAACACAAGGGATGCCCAGGGCCGTTGGGACTCCAGGCAGACAGTGCGGAAGGCCTGGTGGCCGCGCGGGTGGCACGTGCACGGTCTGGGCCGTGCCCCGAGGGACCGTGCGCCCTTTCTCTGGGACTCAGACTCCACCGCGGGCACCGTATTTTCTCAGGCTGCGTCCTCTGAGCTCGCCCTCGGGTTCGGTGTCTTCCTGGTTGCCCCCAGCAACAGCGAGGGCCGAGGCTCAGAGCTGCCTGGGGGGCGGGGCTTCGGGAGGTGCTCCGCCCCTTTCACAGGGACCAGCATGCCGTGCCCCGCCCCCCGTCGAGGGCAGGAATCCAGAGTTCCTTTCGGGAGCGTCAACTCAGAGGCGGGATTCCCGCCCTGGATGAGAGCTCCGCCCAGCCACGCGTCAGCCGCGCCACGGGTCCCTTCCACTCTCCTGACATGGGGGTCCGAGCACCCTTCTGGGGGGTTGTTGCCAGGCTCCCCCGGGGTGACGGACGCCTGGCAGGAGGCAGGGAGAGTGTGCTGTGAGATGGGAAGAGAGGTGCCCACGCTGACCTTTGGTTTTGCCCACAGGTCCCCAGGGTCCCCCAGATGACGCGGGATGGAGGTGCCCGAGCTCACCTGCCCTGCCTCGCCTGCCAGGGACCAGCCAGCTCCGGCTCCCGGACCCCCAGGGGCCCCAGGCGGGCAGGCCTCGCCCCACCTGGCCCTGGGCCCCGTCCTCCTGCCGCCGGAGCAGGGGCTGGCCCCCACCGTGTTCCTGAAGGCGCTGCCCATCCCGCTGTACCACACCGTGCCTCCGGGGGGCCTCCAGCCGCGGGCGCCCCTGGTGACGGGCGGCCTGGAGGGTGGCGGCCTGCCCTTCCTCCTCAGCCCCCTGCTGCAGCCGGAGGGGCCCGGCCCCGCCCCCGTCGGGAAGCCAGCGACCCCGACACTCACTGTGAACATCGTGGGCGCCCTTCCTGTCCTGTCCCCGTGCCCAGGGCCCGCGCCGGGTGGTCCCGGGAAGGCGCGCCACGCCGGCAAGTACCTGTGCCCGCACTGTGGCCGGGACTGCCTGAAACCCAGTGTCCTGGAGAAGCACATCCGGTCCCACACGGGGGAGAGGCCTTTCCCCTGCTCCACCTGCGGTATCGCCTTTAAGACCCAGAGCAACCTGTACAAGCACAGACGCACCCAGACACACTTCAACAACGCCCGGCTGTCCTCAGAGTCCGAAGGCGCTGGGGGCGGCCCCCTGGAGGAGGGGGACAAGGCCGGCAAGGGGGACAGCTGGAGCCAGGGGGGCGCCGTTGGGGCCCCACCAGAGAGGCCCCTCTCTCCGGGGGCCCAGGGTGCTGGGCCCTGCCCGGCGCCCCCGACGACGCATCTGCCCCCGGTCGCCGAGAACCTGGATCTGAAACTGGAATCAGGGTGCGGCCCAGGGCCCACGCCTGCAGACGGAGAGGCCCGCGCGGCGTCCGCTGGGCTCCCCGCGGCCGGCTCCCAGCCCAGGCGCCCGCTGCCGGAGCAGAGGTGCCCGCCGGCCGGCAGGGCCTGCTCCCTGGCGCAGCCGCAGGCGCCGGCCTTGTCCTCGGAGAAGCCGGGGGACGCCAAGGCCTCGGAGGGCCGGCTGAGGAAGTGCGAGAGCACGGACTCGGGCTACCTGTCCCGCTCCGACAGCGTGGAGCAGCCGCCGCCCCCCTGCAGCCCCCTGCGCAGCCTGTCGGAGCACAGCGCCGAGTCTGAGGGCGAGGGCACCCCGGGGCCGGGGGCGGCCAGGGCCGAGCGGGGCGGCCGGGGGCCCAGCCTGGAGCTGGAGAAGCGGCGGCTGGAGGAGCGCATCGCCCGCCTCATCTCGCACAACCAGGCCGTGGTGGACGACCCGCAGCTGGACCATGTGCGGCCCCGCAAGACCGTCCTGTCCAAGCAGGGCAGCATCGACCTCCCCGTGCCCTACACCTACAAGGACTCCTTCCACTTCGAGATCCGGGCCCCGGGGCCCGGCCGCGGGCGGCCCGGCACCCTGGGGCCCGCCCGCTCCACCTGCACGGCCCTGGACAAGGCGCGGCCCCTCTTCTTCCACTCCGTGCCCACCCAGTTCTCCACCACCGTGGAGTGCGTCCCCGTCACCAGGAGCAACTCGCTGCCCTTCGTCGAGGGCACCCGGACGTGGCAGGAGCCGCCGGACCCCCAGGACGCCGGTCCCCGGGGGCAGAAGCCCCTGAGCCCCAGGCCCACCCCTGCCCGGCTGGCGGATGTCCCCAGCGGTCACCCCCGGGCCTTGGTGAGGCAGGCTGCGGTGGAGGACCTGCCGGGGCCCCCCACTAGAGACACCGTGGCCCCGGCAGAGGACGCGGACGGAAGGAGGGTGGGGGCAGGGGACGCCGGGGCGGCCGGCAAGGGCCGAGGCGCCGGCAGGAAGCGCGGCCAGAGGAGGCCGCAGAGGTTCTCCCAGGAGAAGTGGCAGGTGTACGGGCGCGAGACCTTCCAGCGACTCTACCAGAAGATGAGGGCCGGCCGCCCGGCGGGCCGGAGGGCGCGGGAGGGGAGGGGGGGCTGTGGGGCGGAGCAAGACCTCCCTCCGCGGGAGGGGGCCGCGGGGGGCGAGGGTGCAGCCCTGTCCCGGGACAGCAGGACCCCTGTCCGTGGGGACCCCTCTGCGGGGGCCCAGCCAGGGCCTTTGGAAAGTCCACCAGCCACAGAAGGCTTCTTGGTGACCGAGTCCCCCTGGCAGCGGGAGACGGCGGCCCGCGCAGGAGGCAGCGAGAGGCCCGGGGACAGCAGGTCCGTGTCGCCCCCCGCCTGCAGCCACAGAGAGCCCCTGTGTCCGGGCGGCAAGAACCCTGTCCTTCTTCCACGTGGGAGGCTGGAGCTGGGGTGTCCGCGGCTCCCAGCACCTGGCTCCCTCAAAGGTGGGGCCCTAGAGGCTCCTGGGCTGGCTCTGCCAGACCCCGCACTGGAAGGAGGGGCCCAGGGCGGTGGGGACACGGAAGACCCTGGTCAGCGGGCCCTCCTCCTCCCGAGGCCGCCGGGCAGTAGCCCCGGGGAGCCCCGGCCTGGGGAGCCCCAGCTGCCCTCGGAGAGGAAGAAGCTGAGGGTGGAGGGGCCGAGCCGCGCAGAGCACCTGGGGACTCTGGGGGCAGGAGGCCAGACCCCCGGGCCCCCTGGACAGGCCGACCCCCCGCCACCCTGGAAGCGGGACAGCGACCCTGGGGACAAGCCCGGAGAGCGGCACAGAGGGTCAGAGTGTGCTGCGAGCGGCGGGGCCCGGGCCTCGGAGGCCTGCGGCTCATCTTTCTCTGCTTCCTCGGTGGCCCCGAGGCCCGGGCCGAGGGACGAGGAGCCTGGGCTTGGTCCTGAAGCCACAGTCCCGGGGGGCCCATTGCCACTGGCACCCCAACCTCAGGCTCCTGACACCCCAGCAGCCCGGACAGAAACCACGTTTCCCCCCAAGTACCTCCTCAGGATACCTCAGGGCGAGAGCCTGTCACCCCTGCCTGGTGCCCGGGGGCCTCCCTGCAGAAGCGGGGGGCCCGAGGACCTAGCGTCGCCTGGTGGCTCGGAGCCGGGGACCCTGCTGCCCCCCCACCCAGCCGCAGGCCTGGCCCCGGGTGGAGCACATGGCTCGGAGGAGGATCCCGGCCGGCCCAGGCTGTGGGGCTGGAGAAAGGGGGTGCCGGGAGAAGAGGAAGGAGGCGTGGACGCCACTGGCACCCCGCAAGCTGCGGAGCCCCCCAGCTCGAGCGCTGGGGCCCTCAAGGAGGCAGCCTCCGTCCTGCCCACCTGGGCCTGTGACTCCGGGAGGAGCGAGACCCACACCCCGGGGCGCCTCTGCTCCCGCGGCTCCGGGGCCGGGGCCCGGCCCTGCACAAGCACCCTGGACCCCTGGCCACGCGACAGGGACGCGGCAGAGCCTCCCGAGAATGTCCCAGAGGACCCTCCGCCAGGGCCCCCAGCAGGACACCCCTCCTACTGCTGCCTGCGGCCCAGCTCTGTCCTCCCGTCCGCCCTCTTGCCCCCAGGCACCCACGCAGATGGCCCCGGGGACTGCGGGCCCCAGGGCCCCTTCCCTTCGCTGAAGGCCGGGCCCCAGCTCACCTGGTGCTGCCTGAGCCGCAGCCGGCCTCTGCCCGCGGAGCGGAAGGAGAAGGCCGTGTCCGAGTGCTGGGCGCCGCACCGCCCTGGCAGGGGCCCCCTGGCCCAGGGCGCGGACACCCGGCCGGCGAGCAAGGCCGCGTGGGGACGCTGGACCAGGAGCGGCCTGGCAGGAGGGGAGACGCGGCCGTGGAAGGTAACACATCTTGGCCCCAGGGCCCCGGGCTGAGGGAGCGTGCTCAGCGGGTGGAGCCGCCCCTGTGGCCTCTGCGCTGGTTAGCACACGCTCCCTGAGGGGAGTAGGGGCTTCTGTGGACGGGGCAGGGGAGAAGGAAGGCCAGAAACGCACAATAAAGAAAATCGTGGAAAAATAAATGTTGAGGGAAAGAACTACTGTACCCCAGACTCTGGATGAGGTATTTTTCCTTATTAGACGTAAAATTTAACTCTGAGCTTCCTGGTAACAGAGGCAAAAAGTGAAATAAAATGCTGCTCAGGAGAGCTCTTTGGATCATGTAAGACTGATTATAAAGCAGAAACGCTTACTGAGAGACAGAGTCCAGGTAAAACAGACAGACAAACAGAAGCAGCTCTTAAAGGGGGGAGTTATCGTACCGGGGATCCTGGAGAAATAACTCCCATGGGCAGACGCAGCATACCCCGAAGTTTCCTGGGGCCAGTGACCGAACGGGAAAGGAACTGGGGGCCTAGAAAGTTCCCACTTGGTGCTTGAACCCTAAGTGTACAGTCCCGTCTTGAGAATGGGTCCATTCACCTAGATTTTGTAGTTGGGGGTGGGGGGCACTGCCCTTCTCTGGGGTGTCTCAGACCCAGGCCACAGGGGAGGGTCCGGGAACCTCTGTGCTAATTCGCTGCCCGGGACCAGGGCGGGGCGGGCCGTTCTCCCAGGAGGGCGGAGCCTGAGGGAGCTGCAGCGCCTCCCCGAGGTGGGTGGGTCGCTGTAGTTTGCTGAGCATAATGCACATTTTTTTTGCCCAAATTTTTAAGGGAAAAATAAGGATGCACATTATACATGGGCCGTACTAATTCCATATCCATATAAATGTTTTTAATTCTTTCATTTATGCTTATGCGCTAAAAGTGTAACTCTAGAAAACCATAATGACATCAGTATGCAAAACAATACCCTGGAATACTACAGTCAGTTTTGTTTGGAAATATAAATGAATGAAAAAAAAAGAAAAAAAAATGAATGACTACATGAATAAAATATTGAATTACAAAATTAAAAGGAAAGATTATTTTTCCTGAAAGTTTCGGCCAAAAACCTGGGTGTGCGTTATACACGGCAAAACACAGGAACACAGAAGCCCCCGGGCCAAGAGAGGGTTGCAGGGCCCGGGTTGGCCCCCCTGTCCTCCAAAAGGCGCTGAGGTGTGGGCGGGGGTGGGGGCCCGGCAGAGGGAGGGTCGGAGGAGGGGGAGAGCTGGCCCTGGTGTTCCCTGGGCCTTCCGTTCGTGCCAGACATCTGGGTTTTCCCCTGTGCACCTAGCCTAGGCAGGGTTCCAGAAGGTTCCTCCCAGGAACCTTTGGCGATGCAGCATCTCCGTGCCTTGATTTCCCCAGACAGGCATCCTGCCTGCAGAGAGAGAACCCTTCTGTGTTTCCCCACCGTGAGGGCTATGAACAAAACGATGCCAACCTGCCTGGTATTTTCAGCTCTCCTGCCCGACAGCCCCAGGGCTGACGTCCCGGGACCCGGGGGCTGAGCCAGCGTGGAAGAGAGGACCGCCCTGGGGGAGGGCGAAGCTGTGCCGCGCGAGCAGCAAGCGGAAAACCCTGAGAAGGTAGGGCCTTTGGCCACCACTGGCGTGTGCCCACGTGCCTGTCGTGTTGGCCACTGCAGGCCGCCGTGTCCCTAACGCCCCCGGAAGGACTCCCGAGGGATTCCAGGGGCTTCTCTGTACTCCAGAGAGAGTTCCCGTTTAGGAACCAGGGCCGTCTGGAGCTCCACGGGGGAAGGGCTCCGTTGGCCCCCAGTCTGTCCAGCCCGCACAGACAGACAGCCCTGCGGGCTGGGCGGTTTTCAATGGTGCCTTCCCAAGGCCAGGAACCTGGCGAGCGTTTGAAATAACTGAGTTGAAAACACATCTATCCCGTTTAAGTCTTGAAGAGAGAACGTGTTAATTATTTACAGCTTTTATTGCTTTTTAAATTATGCAAGCGATGCATGTCCTTTGCAGAAAAATTAGGAAGTACAGATGAGCAGCGAGAAGACAATAAAACACCCGAGTAATCTCGCCGCCCGAGATAATCAGCGTTAATCACACGTTTAGGTGTGTGCCCTTCCGGACTTTTCTCTGGGATGTGCGCATGTTCATGATACACTGGCAACAGATGCAGGGGACAAGCGGATTTTAATTTCGTTATTTGATTGTCTTGCTCCTTTGCTCGTAAGCCGTCGGGCTGCCCACAGTGTGCAAGTTAGAAAGCAAACTCGGTCCAGGTCTTGCTGGCTCCTGCCCTCCCCCGTGAAACTTTCCGTCTCCGTCTCCCCCCAGTCTCCCCCTCTCCCACTCGGGGTGACTCGGTGCCATCTGGCTGGCCCTCTCCCATTCTCTGATGGGACTCGGACCCCACAACCCTGAGACCCCCAGCCTTCCCACTGCATCCCCCGGCTGCCCCCAGCAACCTTCCAGTCCCGGAATGCTCAGCCTCCGCCCCCACCGCCAAACTGCCATCGCTGTTCGATCCAGGGCCCAGGCATTCTTCAGGAGGCAACGCAAATTCCCATTCTTCCCCACGGCCGCCCAGCCCTCCGCGGCTGGGGGTGGCACCCTCTCCCGAGGCCCTGCTCCTCCAGGACCAGGCACCCACAGCGGCCGGCTCTGAGGGCTGCTCTGTGCTGGGTGCTGTGCCGTGACTCCCCGCTCTTCTCGAGAGGAAACGGAGACACAGAGGTCATGTGATTCCCCAGGGACCCGGACTTGAGTCCACAGGCCTTACTCCGGTGCCCACATGCTACACAGAGGCTTGCCCTGGGGGTCCCCAGCCTGCGGTGGGCGCGAGACTCGCCCGGAGGTTTCTGGGAGTGACGCTCTGCTCTGCTTCAGGCCCCATCCTGTCCTTTCTAACACCCCTTGTCTCTCCGACACCATCTTATGCTGCTTCTTCCCTTTGTGAGGACTCTGGTGGTAAATTGGGTTCACCCCAATAATCTCACCGTCCTGCTGTACTCATCACATCTGCAAAGTCTTTTCTGCCATGGAAAGTAACCCATTCACAGGTGCTGGGGATTGGGGTCTGGGCACCATTCTCCTTGCCCATCACCCCATCCACCCTCCCACCCATCCACCCACCAATCTACCAATCCATCCATCCATCCATCCATCCACTCCTCATCCACCCATCCATGCATCCACTCACCCATCCATCCACCAATCTACCAATCCATCCATCCATCCATCCATCCATCCACACACCCTCCCACCTACATACCCATGATCGTGTACATGCCTGTACGTCTCACTTTACATACCCATCTACCCACTCACATATGTATACACACATCTCTGTCATCTATCGGCCTGCGTGTTCTCTCCTCAAGAAAGAAGCCTATTCTTTTATTTTTAAGATTTTATTTATTTATTTTTAGAGAGGGAAGGGAGAGAGAGAGAGAGAGAAACATCAATGTGAGGTTGCTGGGGGCCATGGCCTGCAACCCACGCATGTGCCCTGACTGGGAATTGAACCTGCGACACTTTGGTTCGCAGCCTGTGCTCAATCCACTGAGCTACGCCAGCCAGGGCTAGAAGCCTGTTCTTTTCAGTTCACTTCCCCACGGCACTTCAGCTGCCTTCACGTCCTGCAGAACGTAAAACACCGTGGGGCGGGCCTCCCTGCCTAGGCTCACAGAGAAGAGTAAGATTTGTGTGTCGGAGCATCTGTTCTCTTTTTCTCCTGTTTTGAAAAATAAAAAATAAGAAATACAGGAAAGCTTAGAAACTATAGAACAGATCCTGGGTAACAATCTATAATTAACCAATATTAACATTTTGTCATAATTTGCTTCTGAGCCTTTAGAAAATAAAACACATAAACTGTTACTTTACCTATTATGGAAGATAAAATAAATAAAACACAAAAGATAATTGTGTAGTTTTATGTATTTGGCACTAATTGTTTCAATCCATGTTTGCATACTTTGCAAATCAAGGTATCCACTAATAATATAAAATAACATTGATTTCTGTCTTTCAAATATGTATGTAGGTAGCATACTAAATTGATTGTCCTCCAGGTTGACTTTTAAACTCAAGGTTGTGTTTCTGAAGACCTGGCCATGCTGTTCCAGACAGACCAAGTTCATTACCTTCATCGCTGCAGAGTGTCCCACCCCAGGAGTATAACGCATTTTATACTCCCTATACGCATTTTTATTCCCTAATGAATAGGCACTTAATTTTTTTCCAGAATTTGCGTGCTTACTCTGTAATGAGCATGTGTACATGTGCCTCCTTGGGCACAGGGCAAGAGGTGTTCTGAGAAATATACCTAAAAGGGGAGTCGTGAGATTACAAGATAATCGTGTCTTCAATGCGACAGGTTATCACGAGGTCCTGGGCGCAGTGGCTGCGTCCGCGGGCATCTCCTGGGCGGCCCCGCGCCCACATTCTCGGAAGTGTCTGTTGTTAGCAGGCGTTAAACGGTTTCGCCCATCCGGAATGTGTAGGATCTCACACACATTCTAGATTTGTCTGTATTCTTGGCCCGTTATAGGTACTGCGCGCATTTTCCCCAAGCCTCTTGCTTGTCCGCGTGAGCCCGTCCACTCCTCTCTGCCCAAGGCGGACCTCTCGGGCCTTCGTTCTTCCCACGTGGCCGGCGGAAGAACTCCCCCCCTCCGCCTCCCCCCCCACCCCCGCTTGGAACCCAGGACGGCGCTGCCCTTCCGCCCCCTGCTGTGCGCAGGAGAAGCCAGCTCCGGGTCTCCGCGCCCGCCCCGGGAAGGTCCTCTGTCTCTGGCTGCTTTTGAGATCCCCGTGCAGTCTTCGGTGCTCCGCACTTCTACTTTGACGTCTAGAGGTGTGGGCTACGTTTGTTCGCTTCGTGAAGGGGCCACCGGCTTTCCTCACCTGTGGCTTGACGTCTACCCAGGAAGCCCCAGGGGTCGCTCTGCAAACGCCGCCTCTGGCCCGCTCTCTGCCCTCTCTGTCCGGAACCCTGGACTCACGCTCCGTGGATGCCCTCGGCCTTCCACGGCCCCTAGCCTCCTCTTTCAAACCCTGTGTCTCTCTGGGCTATAATCTAGACACTTTGTTCAGATCCATCATTAACATTTTACTCTTTTTCTTAATCCACTTATTTTTTTAAAAAGGCTTATTGAGTTTTAGTGTGATGCGTAGTCAAAGTTTGCAGTGTAATGAGTTTTGACACATCTGCACGCTGGTGAAACCAACAGCCACCCCAGAGTCCCCATGTGTCCCTGTGGGATCCCTCCCCCTGCTCACCCTGGCACCCTACCAGCCCTAGGTAATTGCTGCTGTGCTTTCTGTCACTGTAGATTTGGTCCCTTCTTCTAGAATTTTTAAAAAAGGTTTTATTTATTTATTTCTAGAGAGGGAAGGGAGGGAGAAAGAGAGAGAGAGAGAAACATCAATGTGCGGTTGCTGGGGGCCATGGCCTGCAACCCAGGCATGTGCCCTGACTGGGAATCGAACCTGCGACACTTTGGTTAGAAGCCCATGCTCAATCCACTGAGCTACGCCAGCCAGGGCCCTTCTTCTAGAATTTTATAGAGCCCTGGCTGGTGTGGCTCAGTGGATTGAGTGTTGGCCTGTGAACCAAAGGGTCACCGGTTCAACTCCCAGTCAGGGCACATGCCTGGGTTGCAGGCCAGGTCCCCAGCAGGGGGTGCGTGAGAGGCAACCTCACATGGACGTTTCACTCCCTCTCTTTCTCCCTCCCTTCCCCTCTCCCTGAAAATAAACAAAGTCTTTTAAAAAATAGAATTTTATAGAAATAGAATCATATACTATATGCTCCGTGTCTTTGGTTGGGGGCTGGCTTTTTTTTTTTCACTCAACACGACTATTTTGAGGTTCCTCCATGTTCCCGTGTGTATGATAATTCATTCTTTTTTACCACTAAGTAAGGCAGTATGTCTCAGTTTGGTTCTGAATGCGTTGTTTGGCAGACATTTGGTTTGTTTGTGCTTGGGGCTGTTACAAATAGAACAATGATAACTCTTTCTATACATGTCTCTGCATGGACGCACACTTTAAATTCCCTTGGGTAAGCCCCTAGGAGTGGAATGGATGGGTTACTTGGTAGACGCATAACTGGTTCCTGAGAGACCGCCAGAGCGTGCTCCAGAGCGGCCGAAGTGTGTTCCGTCGTCTCCGGAGCAGTGGAGAGGGGGGCCGCTTCCCCCACGTGCCCGCCAGCGCTCGGCGTGGCCACTCCGTTCCCCTTCACTCTTATCTTCAATCTTTTCAAAAACTTACTTTTTTTTATTTTGCACCGGCCAGGGCCAGCACAGGAGGCCTCGGCCTTGGCAGGCCCGGCGCTGCCTCACGTACTAACTCTCTCTCACGGATGGGGACTCGTCCCGGGTTCGTGCTCGGGGTTCGGCTGGGAGCTGAGGGTTCTGGCACTCGGGGACTTGGGCTGGGGGCGGGTTTCTTCAGCGAGGAGGTGTTTGCTTCCGCTAGTTGCCCAGGGGCACCCTCTTGTCGTTGACTTTAAATAAAACTCTTGGATTTAGGTTTCTTCGTGTCACTGTAGGAAGTGAATTTCAATGGCACCCCCCTGAGCATCCTGTCCTATTGCTGTGAGATGAACAGAA